CCCCCCCCCACACACACACACACACACATACCACCCTTAGCAAAGGGCACTTAATTCCGTGTCCTGGTAATACTTCATTTTTATGAGATAGATATCTGGAGTGAATTTCACACAGATGAAAACTTCTACCCCTACGTGACAATATATACTTGAGAAAGAAAAAGTCTATAACAATCAAATTTACAAAATCAAATTAAAAACTGCGTACAATATAATAATATACCTAACGTGAGTCAAAACAAAGTTTTAAAGATACAGTATTTTGATGGGAAACAATACAATTAGAATTTAACGCATTACGTTGTCCACGTCTCTACAATGAATTTACGATAACTAAACTTATAGTGGAGGGCTAAACACTAATCCTTCTGGCAAAAAGGTAAGCCACCGGTGTCGGTGTCGTAACAATGATTCTTTTGAAACAAAGCTATGCTTATCGTCTGCACCATAATACTGTAAGAATACAAATGGGCCCTCGACCGATTCAACGAACATACTCATGGAGAAAGAAAATTAATATGCTTTAAGTGTTTTTTATTGACTTCCCCCCACCCCAGCCACTTATGGGTAACCTTATCCCTCTATCAAAATCAACAACAACAAAAAGAGACAAAGCGAGTAGTCAAGGCATATTATCGTCGCTGCGCCCAACCAAATGTAAGCATATGCTGTAGTTTCAGATAGGAAAATTTAAAGAAATATTGAAATTTACTTTTCATCCCATACAAATGATATCTGCACAGATTATTTTCAGCTTTTCTTCTGTGCTTTACGAACTGGAGGGAAAATAACTAGCTTAATTTTAGGACCAGAACTTTGAAGAAGAAGCCTTTTTCTAAGACCCAATAGATTAATCTCGGTTGTTGTTTTGACATGTGAATTTCATTTGTGTCGTGTAAGAAACTGGCACTAACAATTCATACATTTTATAGGGCACTTACTCTCGCTACTTATGTAGGCCTATCTTTAAAACACTTTGATGATTAAAAAAATGGTCAGAATGCCTGGCAATTGCCTTGTCATTCGTATACCACGCGATGCGTGTTGTGTATAGTAGGATGGAGAAGACACACATTGGTTTCAAAAGTTTGACCTTTAACTTTAATTTTTCTCTACTGAACAACGCTGTCCCGCGCAACCAGATCTTGCACTGGAGTCAGCACGGCCTCTGGTCCATAATACCCAGCCGGTCTCTCCATCTCCCCGTCCATGGCAGAAGTCCCGGGTACTGGGGAATTAATACGGTACGGATCGAGGGTATCGTGCACCGTAGCGGGTTGGGGGTGCACTTGATGCTGTGTGGACTTGGTGGCGTTCACTCCGCTTACGCTGGCCCCCGGGTTTGTCGAGGTCATCTTAAGGGTGTCCTGATCCACGTAAAGGACGGCGTAGACCTTCGGGAGAAACAAGAATGACAGGGCGACGGTGTCGTTGATGATTAGGGCACAGGCTAGAAGGATAACCTGTAAAGGAAATATATAAAAACAAATAAAGTCAAGGTATAGGTCTTATAGAACATGCGGTGGAAATGAACCCGTCTGCAAAATGTTTTAAGATAAAGAAGAAAATTAGTCTACGGCATGACGGACTTGCTTGGCTGCGCCGGTGATAAAAACACAATAACGGTGGCGTGGCTTAGATGCTGCTGTGACGCCATTTATAGGGAACGCCACTAATAGGCCATTCACATTAGAACGTTAACCGCGGTCGACTTTACTCCGATTAAACCGCGGTCAACCAAACCGCGTTCACACTGACACCGGCAGCAATCAGTAGCGGTAGAATCTTTTTAGACTGTCTGTTGTTTTAGTCGGCGTTATTGCCACGCTTTCCATCGGCGCCGTTTTCTATATTTACGTCCCTACCTAAAAATGTAAACAATGTCCCGGTGGCTGGGTTTTATTTTCTCAATTCTGTTCAGGTAAAGATAATCAATAACTACTGAAGAATATCTCGAGGTATTTATAGTTTTCTAGCTACATTTATCACCCCTCTTACCCACTGTGTTTCAAGATTTTAAATGTGACACAACAAGGCAGCCCTATATATTAGGCGTAGATTTTTTTTTTTTTTTTTTTTTTTTTTTGAAATGTGCAAATCTGCCTCAAGGATTGTTGACTGTGGTGAATGTCGGCCAAAGAATTCATGGAAAGTATTGCATGCACATCACCCAATACGCCAAAGAAACCAGGCCTTGAACCTTGAACGTACTTTCAGAGAAGAATTTCATCAGCTGTGTAATGTTATAAGAATAAAGTTTTTTTTCTTCAATCAACAGCTTAATATTGAAATAATTTACCTTGAATTTTTCTAATAATATTGTATTGTTGTTATATTGGAGGTTAATTATTTCAACATAGGCTGCTGATTGAAGAAAAAATTATCTTTGAACGCACCTTGTAGTAAGCCTTGCCCGTTGTAAAATATGTCGGAATGAAAGCCAGCCATATCACCAGGGTGGTATAGACCGTCATGGAGATGAAGCGCGACTCGTTGAAGTTATCCGGCAGCTTCCGTGTCTTAAAGGCGTGGACACTGCACACGACGATCAGGCACAGGTTGTACGTCAAAAATGCTATCAGTCCTGCAAAAATTATATCCATACAAATGAACATATAACAATGGTTTTAACAATCGTGAGATAGCTCCTCCGAAAGTCGATAACCCCCCCTCCCCCCATCCCCACTCCCAGTTGTGTGCATTTTGTAACAAATGTGGTTAAGTATTATTATACAGGGCACTAATATAAATATACAAATCGATAAATATATAAATGTAATATATAGAGACGACATAATATATCTCCCAGGGGTTATTACCTTCTATGGGAATATTGCAGTAGAGCTCCACGAATCTCTCTGTCTTCACCGGCATGGAGAGTTCTGCCGTCGGTGGTACAACTATGGCGGTTATGATGCTTATGATAACCTGCATGGTGAATTGAAAATATTGTTTAGAATTATATCTGATGATAGATTACCATTTACTGAATGAAATACCCTTAAAACAAGACTGAGAGATGTTGTTTACAATCTCCCACTATCGAAACAAAAGAACGATTGTACCATAAATTGTGAATAAGAACTCCAAGAATTCTATCACCAATTTTTAAAATACACAGGTATAAATAAAAGAAACATTTCCTAGAACAAAAACAATACTTGAGGTCTAGAATTTTTTACGTTCTTTGCCGTGTTTGGGTTTCGAGCATTTTAAGGGCAGCGGTGGGGTTGTGTTTTTAGATGTTCAGCACGGCGGGATATCCACCGATGTGTTAATGACCGCCTCGTGATTTCGAATACGTACAAGTGCGTATGATTTGCACGCCTACCGGTATGTTTACACCGGTGAACAGATCTAAAGAAGTCTTCAATTAACCAAAGAAACCACAAAAGCAACGGCAAATGACCCGTGCTTTTTTTCCAATCCAACCTCGGAATTTATAGGTTTTCTTGGACAGAAAAGGAAATTACACCTTTCGTCGAGGGTTTAATGCACCCTGGGAGTCTGCTCGCTATTACCTACTCGAAGATCCCGCTTAAAACACATGAGCGAAGAAAACGCAGAGAATGAACCACTCCAAATTTAAAATCACGTCATGCCTAGACCCAGATTTCTAACACCCCCAATAAAATGTTGCTTAATGCCACCATGGCAGGCACGCGGGTCTACCCAATCATACCAAAATACGCAATACAGCGAATTAAAAACACAATACAGTACACTAAAAATAAGGACTTTGAACGCGAATAAACAAGAGGAAAGTCATTCGCAATAAAAAACGGCGATATAAATGCAAAATATACTAATAGGCAAATCGTCGATCCAACTTAACCGTGTGTGTTTACAGGGCTGGCCAATGTTACACAGGGTAGGCTGACAGCTGCATTTGTAAGACTTAACGGCAGCCGTTTAGTTACTATTAACACAATAACTGGCTGAGCTGGGCCAGCATTGAGGTAAGAGTAAATAGGATAAAATGTATTTTGAATCACGTTTCACAAATGTGTAGAGTTTATGTCCCCTTTTAGTAAATTCTCATGCAGCAATCATATCAATCCGTCAAAGTGAACATGTGCTACTTTAAAAAGTTAAGATGAACAACTTAAGCGGTACCAATACACTATGAATGTCTAAATTGGTTAAAACAACCTTTTTTCCGGTTCCTTTACGTGAAATACTTATCTTTATATTATTGCAATGAGACGAACAATTTTAGAGCACAAACTCTTTTTCTATCCTGTCTTATGGACTTCCCCACTCCTTTTGAACATAGTGCAAGAGAGTATATAACGTCAATTTGGCTGCTTAGTAAATATGTGTGAGATGGTGATTTGTTTCTTTAACTAAGAGATATATTATCATGTAAATTAGCATGGTTGACGGCTAGGGTGTGCCATTGTTAGGGTTTACTGTGTTAAATTAATCAAAGGCATTAGACGGATTTTCTTTCAAGTATAAAAAGGACCTATTAAAAGGACCTACCTGAACAGTAATAAATATCGTCGCTATTGTCACTTGTGACCTCGGTGAGATGAATTTTGGTCGAATGGTCGATTTCTTCCCAGTGTTGAAAATTCTATAAATTCTGTTGGTTCTGGTCGCTAGAGGTGCATACAGCCAAGAAAAGCTGAGACTGAAGCCCAAATACTCACAGTAGCACAAATAATCTTTGGGGGTCGCCAAGAAAATGATTGCCGTTACATAACCGAGAAGTATTCCAATGAGCATGAGGAAACTGAGTTCACGACTGGAGGCTTTAATGAGGCGTTCTTTGTTGAATCGAATGTAGAAAACTGAAGTGGCCACTGTAGCCAAGAGACCTAGTAAAGCTACAATTACTATGCCAATGGCCAATGGATCTCCCCATCGCACGTGCTCTGCTGCGATCGGCTCACATGAGGTGAAGGTTGACTGTTCTGGCCATTGAAAGATGGGACACGCCAGGCAGGTGGAGGCATTGTTGATGGTGATTTCGTTGTCCCTACAGTGGCGGCACTCCCAGCAACATTTGAGTTCTTTTGGGATGTAGAACTCCCCAGGCCTGCATGGTTTAGCACACACTGATTCGGGGACGGTTTGATTCGCAGGGTCCGAGTCGTCCAAGTTCCATTTTATTGGCTTACCGTCGAATATCAGGCCGTTGAGAGTGGCGTCCCATGTGGCCAGTTTGACCTGTTTATAGTTGGGTCCTCGAACATCTATCAGTTGCACAAGGTCGTATTGTCCCAAAAAGTCCCCATTTTCATCAAAGGCGATCTTCCCCAGAACTCCTTCAAATGTGATGTTCTTTAAGCTCTCTAGTAGGTGTGGCCCACTGATGCAGTCACGAGCTCCTTTTCCCGTCGCTCCGGGGCAACGCTTTTCGATGACGTCATGCAAGGCGTAGGCAAATGTTGTTACGGAATCTATCACCGGGGAAATATTCTTAATCGGTTTATAGGTGGCGCTTTTTGAAACGGTATCTGTTTCGTCGCAAGGGCGGGTGGCGCCATCTTTCCAGGAGCATCCAAACTGCATCTCCCAGAACTCCTCAAACCACGGGTTTCCCGGCTTATCCCCCAGCTGGAGAGAGGTGAAATATCGATCAAAATCAGGCACATACCGCCATGAAACCTGCACCGTTATTGCTCCGGCAACGACATCCAACACCTCAACCAGAGAGTTGATCCGGGTGCCCCACGCCTCGCTTCCAATCCACTGAAACATCCTCGTTATTCCTGCACGTTCAACGGCCTTGAAGAGCTGAAGAGCCACAGCTGGTCCACTGAAAACCACCACCACGTGAGCATTTTTATGGTTCACCAAGTTTCTCACTACTTGGTCATTATCTTCCTCCGTTGAAGACAGGCTTAGCTGAGCGTCCACGGCGATACAGATGCCGAAGGCCTTAGCGTAGCGCCGGAAAGTCTTGAGAGCGGTCTCACCGTAATTGCCTTCCTCGTGGATGGCGGATATGTAAGACCAGCCATGGTAGAGGATGATGTCTATCATAGCTTTAACCTAAAAGACAAACGTGAAAATGACTACACTTTATAAGATATTTGGCTACTTTATCATTTTTCTTTGTTATCAAATCCAAAGGCTTTTCATGGTAAAGAAATTAAAGATGCTTGGTGTCAAGGCAATTACGTCGAAAGACCAAAACCGGTTCCTTATGGGGACCCATACAGTCCACTTATAAGGGGTTCTGGATGGGTTTGATAGTTGCCACCACATAGGTCTACACATGGTTTGCCCTAGCAGGTCATTAGCTCACCCACGTAGAACCCATGTGGACCCAGATACAAGTTTAACATGTTGGTGATGATTTGTGCGCGTTAGTCTTTATCATAGTAAAATATTGTGATTGGTGGTATTAGTGTTAGAATTCTTATTTTCGATCTGTGCAAGATCGACATGTTGCAAGATAAAAAAAACTGGTAAAATTCGGTAGCATTCTGTTGTATGTTGAGATAACAACTTAACAAAAGAAGTATTGTGCATTTCAAAGATGTCATTTAAATTAAAAAACAACGTCAAGCTAACTTAATTTAATCCCAACGTGTTTTTGCACGAATCTTATTTAGCATTAATATGAACATCCTGAAGGAAATTACAGCTTCAGATGATGCAAAGATGGGTAGTGCATTACTGGGAAAATGGGTTTACAGGAGGGTACTTAAATAAAAATGAAATTTATTATATACCGCCTACTGCTCCTACTGCTTACTACCACGTCTAATTTTCTGTAGGCTATACAATATTTGCTTTTATAAAAGTATTCATATAACATTTGTGAGTGTTTCATTTCTTTTCATTAGAGAGCCTGTTACACAAGTGAATGCTGCCAACGCATGCAATTTCAGGTGATGTTTTCTTTTTCAGCCCTAAAGTTGCATGCAATCTTAAAGACTTTCTGTTGCATTGTGTTGTGCTTACGGCGTATTTCGTTTGATTTGCACGAATCANGACACTTAAAGGGGATTATCTGACGGTAGTCTGGTGAGACTCCCCGCGGTGATAGATCGATCTAAAGTTGTGGGAATAGACCCTAAGAGATATATTATCATGTAAATTAGCATGGTTGACGGCTAGGGTGTGCCATTGTTAGGGTTTAAGTTTCTTGTTTTGAAGACATGAGCCCCTAATTACTATGTTAAATTAGTCAAAGGCATTAGACGGATTTTCTTTCAAGTATAAAAAGGACCTATTAAAAGGACCTACCTGAACAGTAATAAATATCGTCGCTATTGTCACTTGTGACCTCGGTGAGATGAATTTTGGTCGAATGGTCGATTTCTTCCCAGTGTTGAAAATTCTATAAATTCTGTTGGTTCTGGTCGCTAGAGGTGCATACAGCCAAGAAAAGCTGAGACTGAAGCCCAAATACTCACAGTAGCACAAATAATCTTTGGGGGTCGCCAAGAAAATGATTGCCGTTACGTAACCGAGAAGTATTCCAATGAGCATGAGGAAACTGAGTTCACGACTGGAGGCTTTAATGAGGCGTTCTTTGTTGAATCGAATGTAGAAAACTGAAGTGGCCACTGTAGCCAAGAGACCTAGTAAAGCTACAATTACTATGCCAATGGCCAATGGATCTCCCCATCGCACGTGCTCTGCTGCGATCGGCTCACATGAGGTGAAGGTCGACTGTTCTGGCCATTGAAAGATGGGACACGCCAGGCAGGTGGAGGCGTTGTTGGTGGTGATTTCGTTGTCCCTACAGTGGCGGCACTCCCAGCAACATTTGAGTTCTTTAGGGATGTAGAACTCCCCAGGCCTGCAAGGTTTAGCACACACTGATTCGGGGACGGTTTGATTCGCAGGGTCCGAGTCGTCCAAGTTCCATTTTATTGGCTTACCGTCGAATATCAGGCCGTTGAGAGTGGCGTCCCATGTGGCCAGTTTGACCTGTTTATAGTTGGGTCCTCGAACATCTATCAGTTGCACAAGGTCGTATTGTCCCAAAAAGTCCCCATTTTCATCAAAGGCGATCTTCCCCAGAACTCCTTCAAATGTGATGTTCTTTAAGCTCTCTAGTAGGTGTGGCCCAGTGATGCAGTCACGAGCTCCTTTTCCCGTCGCTCCGGGGCAACGCTTTTCGATGACGTCATGCAAGGCGTAGGCAAATGTGGTTACGGAATCTATCACCGGGGAAATATTCTTAATCGGTTTATAGGTGGCGCTTTTTGAAACGGTATCTGTTTCGTCGCAAGGGCGGGTGGCGCCATCTTTCCAGGAGCATCCAAACTGCATCTCCCAGAACTCCTCAAACCACGGGTTTTCCGGCTTATCCCCCAGCTGGAGAGAGGTGAAATATCGATCAAAATCAGGCACATACCGCCATGAAACCTGCACCGTTATTGCTCCGGCAACGACATCCAACACCTCAACCAGAGAGTTGATCCGGGTGCCCCACGCCTCGCTTCCAATCCACTGAAACATCCTCGTTATTCCTGCACGTTCGACGGCCTTGAAGAGCTGAAGAGCCACTGCTGGTCCACTGAAAACCACCACCACGTGAGCATTTTTATGGTTCACCAAGTTTCTCACTACCTGGTCATTATCTTCCTCCGTTGAAGACAGGCTTAGCTGAGCGTCCACGGCGATACAGATGCCGAAGGCCTTAGCGTAGCGCCGGAAAGTCTTGAGAGCGGTCTCACCGTAATTGCCTTCCTCGTGGACGGCGGATATGTATGACCAGCCATGGTAGAGGATGATGTCTATCATAGCTTTAACCTAAAAGACAAACGTGAAAATGACTACACTTTATAAGATATTTGGCTAAATTATCATTTTTCATTGTAATCAAATCCAAAGGCTTTTCATGGTAAAGAAATTAAAGATGCTTGGTGTCAAGGCAATTACGTCGAAAGACCAAAACCGGTTCCTTATGGGGACCCATACAGTCCACTTATAAGGGGTTCTGGATGGGTTTGATAGTTGCCACCACATAGGTCTACACATGGTTTGCCCTAGCAGGTCATTAGCTCACCCACGTAGAACCCATGTGGACCCAGATACAAGTTTAACATATGGGTGATGATTTGTGCGCGTTAGTCTTTATCATAGTAAAATATTCTGATTGGTGGTATTAGTGTTAGAATTCTTATTTTCGATCTGTGCAAGATCGACATGTTGCAAGATGAAAAAAACAAACTGGTAAAATTCGGTAGCATTCTGTTGTATGTTGAGATAACAACTTAACAAAAGAAGTAATGTGCATTTCAAAGATGTCATTTAAAATAAAAAACAACGTCAAGCTAACTTAAACTAATCCCAACGTGTTTTTGCACGAATCTTATTTAGCATTAATATGAACATCCTGAAGGAAATTACAGCTTCAGATGATGCAAAGAAGGGTAGTGCATTACTGGGAAAATGGGTTTACAGGAGGGTGCTTAAATAAAAATGAAATTTATTATATACCGCCTACTGCTCCTACTGCTTACTACCACGTCTAATTTTCTGTAGGCTATACAATATTTGCTTTTATAAAAGTATTCATATAACATTTGTGAGTGTTTCATTTCTTTTCATAAGAGAGCCTGTTACACAAGTGAATGCTGCCAACGCATGCAATTTCAGGTGATGTTTTCTTTTTCAGCCCTAAAGTTGCATGCAATCTTAAAGACTTTCTGTTGCATTGTGTTGTGCTGACGGCGTATTTGGTTTGATTTGCACGAATCAAATTGCATAGAGGAACCAACAATAATTCAGATGAATGCTAATGCCGTCAGATTAACAATAGGGGAACGTTCAGAATGGGTTTTGCCGATCTAGATAATGCACTCTAACTCCACCGGTCCTCTCGTTGAATGATTAAAACCTAGCACGTCCCCCCCCTCCCCCCCCCGTATTCGTCTAATCACCATCTTTTCTATATTCTACTCAGCACCAGGAGGGGGCGTGTTAGTCTGTTAATAAGTTGCATTCAGCAAGAGTCACTGCGGAGTTAACACGCATTGGCTGGGTCGATGTAACCGATTCTGAAGAGGCCCTAGATGTGTAGCTGTTTCATTTATTCAGGTGCAATGTTTTAATGATGTCTATATCCTATTTCACGAACTTTACAAAATAAACTGTTTATCCTGTTTGGATGATCTTCGGCAATTCAGGGAATGAGTTCTAGCATTACTTTATGACTGAAGTAGCGTTGGCGTTACATGTAAAAGACTAAGTGGTTTTATGGCATACAGTATAACAGGTACTGTCAACATAATTTTCCATTATGCTGGTTTTTCCACTTCACTTTAAGAGAGAATAATATATATGTGTATCGTTTTAGATGATTAGATAACATGGGATAGAACTGCACGACTGGAAGAAAAAACGGATGAGTAATATTCAGCAAATTAACACGAATAATGTGTTTGTTTTATTTAAACTTCTCTATGAAACTTGATGCTTCCGTGGCATGTCTTCAACCATTCTGACGATGGTTCTTGTTGACGCTGATTTGTTACCAAGCCATTCTTGAACAAACAAATAAGTGAATAAATAAAATACAGTAAAATATAAGTACAATTATTTTTAAAAACGGCATTTTAAGGTTTTTCTTAGCATACTTCTACTTAAAAAGCAGATTTTAATGACTTTATTACAAAAGCATCATTTGGCAAAGTGGTCTGCTAAAAAACCCTACATAATACGTAAAGAGCAAGGCTATCAAGAACATTATCAATTTCTGTAACACAAATGGATCACATACATGTATGTATATTTTGCAATGATTTAATCCAGTGAAAAGGGTTGACGCTGATTCCATAAATTACAGCTCTTCTACAGTGTCTCTCATGTTGTGATATGTAGGCCTCCTGAACGTTTTAATTAAAAAAATTGGGCATTTCAATATGAAAAAGTAACGGTATCGTATCCTTGATTTCGAATGAAAACAGGAATTTTCTTCGACTCACGAATCAATGCATTTGCACTTGGGGTTGATGTTTTATACCACTTCTAACTAAGCAATTTAGTCCTTAAAGTCTGGTGAGTCTCTGAAACATACGTTCTCCTACAAGTGGCAAAAAAAATTAAATGATGAAAACAGTATGAAGCTGGACCTCCAACCATTAAATAGATATAAACATAAGATTATAAGGAGAAAATGTCATCATCTGTCCTTTTCCACTGACTAAAATGGCCAATCCCATCAGCTTATTTCACCATAAGCCAACTCGTTTCAGAAGATAATCAGCGTGAACGACCCTTTTATAGCCGATAACGTATACCTTTATTTTAGTGGCGGTTTGCTACGATCCTCAGCACATTTTTTAAAACGTGACAATACAAGAACGTGCTATGCATATAAGACACTGATTTTGAGAATGTGGGGAATACGATGGTTTCAAAGATATTAGGTTGGCATGAAAGATAGGGATAAATTAAAGCTCATTGTGTAAATCGAAAGAGGTACCTTTTTAGAGGCATTTTTTATTTTTACAGTGGCGTTTATGTAATGTAACAAATTCAGGTTACGTAATCTTTTGAATAAAGAAATCGAAACTAGACCCTTGTAGCCCTAACATTTGCAGAAACCGCAATATCCACAAATTTCCAATTTACTTGTATGGAGGTGACATATTTCCATGCCCTTTTCAATACCACTAACGATATCGTGTTACATGATGCAGATTTGAATGAAACACGACCCAAGACATTATTATCTTCTAAGAATAGACGTAGAAGATAATACTGCTTCACAAAGGCATGACGCAGAGCGATTTTATCAATTTTGTATCGGTCACGTCCCTTTACACGGGCACAATTGCAAGCAGCAGGATGGTTACTGAACGATAGGAAATTAAACGATACAAGAAGGAAATGAGCTCGAAATTTCCGGGCATATCGCGTCAGTAAATAATAATCCTATATTCAAAGGTTTGCGTCATATATTGGACTTATGTACCAATAAATTGAATAAGAAACAATAAACGTTCCCGGTCCAAACGCAACAGGGTTCTTGTCCTCCCGCAAGTCCAACCGGGGCATTCTTATGTGGGGTTTGACTGCAAGTACTTCCATTGTCAGGGGCCTTTCTTTGCACCTAATGACTTCCCCGAAACCATTCTGGTGCTGTGTTCAATCAAAAATGTTCAATGATTTAATTTAGTCTTCAGGGACAGGTTTTGTATTTATAGAGTGACCAGCAATTCCATGTAAAACCTGATTTGAGAATAACACCGATCTGTAGTACTTTGCCGCGTTTGTCCGTCTGTTCGTGATAGCGGCAATTGTCTTTATTTCAATCTGGCAGTCTGAAAGTCGTGACTATCATTCATGTATAAATAAAGCTGGGGGTTATCCGCCAAAACAACAAGCCATAGCTGGCGGTTCAAATTACAAATCATTATGACTATCTTGAATTGTTGAAATTGCAACAAACAAACGAACGTACCTTACAATTACGACTCTACAGAGTAATCTAACATCACTCGTACCTCTTATTTATTATAAAAGTAGAACTATTACATCTTATTAAGAAAAATAGGGTCCGTGTGACACATTTCGCCTCCATTACATTTGTAAAAGTTATGGTTAGCGAGAATAATTTGTTCAAAATCAAGGATGGTGCAAATAAATGGAAACCGAAACAAATAGCCTTTTCTTTTGTTCGTCCATGTCAAAGAAAAAAGATAAATACAAAATGCACTCACTAAATAAGGCGCGAAACCACTGTTATGGCTTGTTATTTCCCAGAATTGCCGTGCAAGTCGTCAAATCTCTTGCATGCTCGAGCTGTGTGGTTGGAAATAACAAAGCACACGCAGTCTGTCCCTAAGTTTAATAATGGTATTAATCAGGAGTTCATATTTCAGTGTGTAATCCGCTCACTATTTGTCTCATCCTCCTTTTCTCTCTCTGTTCACTCGATCGTTTGTTTTTCAAAGAATAAATGAACGAATTTCATACAACACCGCATTAGAGTAATACCAATTTCAATTGTATACTGATACATGTCTCTTAAGTTCATTTACATACTTACATTGTACATGTAGGTGAAAATATATAACTTCAAATGGTTTCTTTATCATACTGTCATTAATCATTTAATTAGTCCATCTTTTAAATTTTATCTCAAGTGAGTGCAAACTAACTAAAAGATTGAAAATAAAACATAAAAGAGAACCGATCTAGGGCTGCACTGCAATGTGATGTTGAACAAAACACGATAAAGACACAAATGTACATCACATTTGAATTCCTATTACCCTTGGACACAAATATTCACTTCACTTCCTAATAAATAATGGGATTTTCTTCAGAGATATTAAGCTAGTAAATGTGTAATCATGTGACTTGCATTTCAGTGTCCGGTGCTGTAGTGGGTTCCAGCAGGAAAACACGCCATTAATATCAATTATCCCATCAGGAGACGGCAGAAACGCACAAAGATGTACCTCGAATCGGAAACTGGGTACCAAGTACCAACAGCAAGTTTAAGGTCAAGCACAATGCTCTGGCATGATTCGACAAATAATAATAATATATCTTCTGGTAGGAAGTGATGGTTGAATGTGACCCCCCCCCCCCCGAGGACTTGAAAAAATCGCAAGACTGCACGAAATATGTATGAGTCACTCCAAAGAGCTCTTATCCATCTTTATGTCCCTATTTTTATCCCAAACATCTTGTCGCCATGTGTCCTCGAGGCACTTGAATGCAAGCACTGCGTTTCCTGGGAGAATTAAGTGATGGAAACAGGTGCTATCCTCGTAAATATATATATATATATATATATATATATATATATATATATATATATATATATCTATATATATTATCTCGTTAATGCCTCAGCCACTGCTGATACATGAACCAAGGCAGGGAAAGGAGTATGGCCGCATTCAGAATAGTGGACTAACTAGTCCGAGGTTCAAATATGGCTGACCCACTTGAATACTTCCCCACGGGGAATCTATTCAGTGTCTAAAAGCGGATTAGACGACAAGCTTTTTAGTGGGTGGCGATATTTGACGCACGGACTAGCTAGTCCATTTTTTCTGAATGCGGCCTATTTGAAATGGAATGGTGGGAATTATGGCTTAATATAAATTATAGTGCAGTTTTTGTTCAATCGTGCTGTTCGGTTAAAGCGACAGCACGACAGGAAAGACGACGCGTGCGCTAGTCGTCAATCTATTGATCATATCTAAAAATGTGCTGTGACTAACAGCAGTGAGTCTTTAGTCATTGTTCTTTTTGTTATTAGACAACCTTTACACATACGTTTAGCTCTCCTTGAATGCGATTAGTGACAGAGGGAGGACATTGCTTTTCGGTTGCTTCCATCTTGTCTGCATGCTGGCCAGTGTTTTATTTCTAACTAAAGAATGAAAATATTATGAGAGAGAGAGAGAGAGAGAGAGAGAGAGGAGAAATATATAGAGAGAACACTAGCCTGGATCAGTCATGTGTACCGTTCTATCTTAAATGGGCCTTTATTTTCAGATATTCAAAAAAATAAATAACAATAATAACCCGGGTTTTAAGTAATGCGCAAACCCTAACGTAATATTGTGCAACTCTTTTGAGGCTAAACATTAATAAAGTAATAGCATATTCGATATGAGCACGGCATACATTTTTGCAGATAAAACCTTCTTAAGTAATATTGTTTAATAAGGCAGGCTGAGGGTGTGGGCCATATCACCACGACTATCGTCAGCTATTAATCTTGTTACCCATAATGAACAGAGTGATTAACAGTATTTCATCTCTGAACCTGCAGCTGTTAAATAGAGGTTTGAGGTGAAATGCGTGGATGTTCAAAAGAAACTGCGAGAATTCTACGCAAAATGCCTGACATTTGAATAGTCTTGTTAACATCAAATCTAAGGATAAGGTTTGCCCAACTATACGTGCCATCACACTAGATTATATGCCTTTTCAACATACAGTGTAATATTAAAATAATAGTGAGTTAAATAAAATTTAATTCAATACCCAATTAAGTTAAGCAACTTGCATTTGAGCATGTAAGATTATTCAGTGTAATGCAACTAGTGGTTTCTATTATGTTGTGCAACAAATGGCTTTCCTGGTTTTTACGTAAATTAGTGTAATTTATATACATAAAGAAGCATTAATACTCCAAGCGCGTTGGTCCAATTTGCCAGCCTACGTAAAACCACCTTACTTTTATCGTCTAAGATGGCTGGGAATATTGAAGTGCAAATAGGCTGGAAAGGTTTTCCCTAAGTTGGCTCTAAGTTAACACAAGGGTGTCACTTTCAGCAACCTGGGGTTGTATGTAGGCTTATTATAGTCTATTATATATATCCTCATTTTCAGTAGCTCTGATGTTAAGATTATATTTCTACTTAATTGGACCCGTTGGTTTCAGCTACAGGTGCGTCTTAGGGTAAATCTATACCTTTTCATCCAATTAATGAAGTAATTAGTCATGTAATTAAGGGTGTAAATAGTCATGTAATCAATGATGTAATTAGTCAGCATATTGTTTAACTACGCCAAACATTAAGTTATATTTTCACCCAGTTGCCATGCATTGCTTATAGCCCACCCAAGATCGGGAATTCTATAGTTAAACATCACTGGGATATCTTTGTCACTCCAGCATATACACATTTGTAGAATGTAACTCTATAAGTCAGCCAATTAAGACATCGTTTCAAGAAAAATAAGTTCCATTGGCGTAATAAAAAAATTGATACTGGAGTAGACAAAAAGTAAGCTGAGAACATCAACTATTTGGAAAAGTTGTAACAGATGAAGTGAACACACTGAACGAACTGAACAAATTGACAAGAATATTGACTTTCATGGACATGGTGATAAAAAACCTGTGGTGGAAATAATAAAAATAAAAATCACCTCTTGACAACAGTGAATGGACAAATAACAAAATTGCAGTGAAAATATTGTTTAATATTTCTCACTGCCAATCAGACATTGACAAAACCCAACATCTTTGACAGAGAAACATCGACAAAAGTTAGAGCAATAAATGCGAAATAATGTAACGCGTACCGAATTTAAGATATAACACTCTACTTTCGATTAAAAACTAATATCGTTTTATTCGACGAAGAACGTCAAACGAACAGGATAATGAAAGTAAAAAAAAAGAGCGGCGATTTTCTAATTTTGATAGACAAGAATCAAAAGGATACGGCTTATTTGTTTGAAAGTAAGCCTGAAAGATACTTTATAACACAAAATTAACTTCAGAGAAAGAATCTACACCCGACCTGTAAAACATACACAAACATTGGACATTTTAACATCTTAACAATTAAAACTACGTAGGCCTACTTCACAGCAGAAATATGTACAATGTCAACAACGCACCTGAAATTTATCTGGCGACACCAAACGCATGAAGTAAGGGTATTTAGACTTATCGCTCAGCGTATCTGAAGAGGAGGCGTAGCTGATCAGAGGAACATGGAACAAATTCAAAGCATTTGCCACTTGCATGGTGCTGCCGCTCTTCATTGCCCCGACGACACCAACGACGTCGAAGGATAAGTGATATTCTTTGGAATTGTTAGAAACCGAAACCGCGGCAGACGACCCGGTGTTTGCAGTACCCACGGGCGGCGCTGGCGTCATTAGGTCGAAACTGTTGCAAATTGTGTCGTTGCGCGGGATGAAATGCATGGCCTGAGCCAGGGCGGTGGTATCTTTTAAACAACTGTCCAAAATAGCGTAACCCAGTCTGATTCCCGGGAGCAAATCGGATCGGTTGTTGATCAGTTCTATGGCGTACACCATAGATTCCACCATCTGCACGATTCCAACGTACCACAACTTGCTGCCACATGGTAGTTTTGTATCAAAGGCGGAGAGAGGAAATATCCCGCCCAAATTAATGTCCCCATTCACGGTGTACTGTTTGTGTGGAAGATCGGGAACGAGTATCTCCGACTTGGCTTTGAAGTCAAGCAGAAACACCAAGGGGATGATTCGAATCACTGAGTAACGCATCGTCGCCGTTGTGATGTTAAGAGCTTCAAATGAAACACGACGGTAATTGGATCGGCATCTCTCTCTCTCTTTGAATAAATATACAAAAGCGGGGAGATAATCATTCATCAATCATCTTCAATGGAGATTTCAATTAAAGAGTTGTTCATGCTGCCGTTTGTGAACGCTCAACCAGTGTACGCTGTCAATGTGTAAACAGCGTGCGCTTTAAGTGAGAAGTTCTAAAGCTATAGCTACGTGCGTTCGTTTCAGTTTCGATTTTGTGTTGACGACTTCACGGCTAGAAAGTGGCCTACCTGGATGTGTGAACTGCTTTTTATATATGACGTGACGTAGTTATAGGAGGACGAGATTGTGCGCCTTACGTCCTGGGGATTATCCTCGTTGCCATGGAAAAGCAAAGAGCGTTTCTGGAAACCGCAATGCGCATGCACTAGAGTGCCTTATATCTTCTTTTTTCTCGTTACTTCATTAATTGTGCAATTTGCAGAGTGCCAGACGTTCGTGACAACCCGATGAATAGAATAGTGAAACCACATATGGAATGTAAAACTGTGGTATTTCCGAGATGTTTTCTTGATAATGAAAAGGATATATTTTTCTACAAAAAGCACACGGTCTTTGCGTGTTCGAAAACACCGACAGGCAAATGGAATCGAACACGAATATATCGTATTAATTGTAACCGTATTCATAGTTGCGAATATGTCCTCGCGTGTTACGTAACCAGCATCAGTAAAAACGTTGATCTCTTTTGTGTGAGACCGTCAATATTCGTGGATATAGAGAAACATGCACGATAGGTTTTACTGCTTTTGAAAATTAAATTGTCATTAAACCGACATAAAGAATACAGGTAGAATATAACCAACTAGAGCTGAAATATACATTTAAGGACAGAAATGTCATTTTATTCATGTGCATTACAAAACCCATTTCCGCTGTCCAAAAGCCTGTAATGACATACAGTGCATATATCTGTTTTAAAAAACTGACTAATGGGACAGTTTATAACTTAAATGTTAAAGCTGTTTCAAAAAAGTCAACATGCTAGAAACCAATCATAAAAAAATTCAAAATATTAATACGGTATAATGGTTTTAGAGGAAACAAGCAGATATCAGCTTATTTAACGAATTGCCAAAAGGCCCTATAACTAGCAGCTATCTAATGACCTTTCATTAACTCCAAGATTGCTGATGTGTGTATTAAAAGATCTGAACAAAGACGAGGAACAGTATAGAAATACGGACAATAACACATTCTCTATGGCCGTAATTAAGAATGCTTATTGACCAAGGTTAATAACAGATCGGTGCATGATACATTGTAAAGAATACAGGCTGCTAATAAATAAAAGGATATGAATAGATGGATGAAAAGATGAGTGAATTGATTTGCAAAAATCGCTGGGGTGAATAGATGAACCGATAAATAAAAAGGATAAATAAATGAGAAAATAGATGATATAGTGAAAAACAAATGAATATTTACTTTTAGAATTTCTAGAAAATAGCCTATTATATTGAAGCCCGAGCAAAGTTCGCTTTAACCATCCATAAAATGCTGAAAACATATTGTACTCGCTTAACCTTCTCTTCTACAGCAAAACAAAGCACTTGAATATACGTCTTCACAGTCACCAGGAGGCTTGCATGTCACACCATGCAAAATACTCCAATTAATTCTATTTGTGCAAAATTGGGCTAGCAAGTCTTGTATTTGACATCCTGTGATCCCGCGGACGCTTCTCATGTACAATTAACACCGGTATAACGTCAATCCAAACCTTATTAAAACATCTGTTGATCATCTTTTGAAAAACGTTATTTTGGACGGTGTGGATCAAATAATGAGCTAGGCTATTTGCAGAATGTACAATAAATTACTGAGCCGTACCTTTTTTTTTTTTTTGAAGATTCGTTTATGGCTTCCACCCCAAATAAGAGGACTTCAAATTATTTCGACATTTTAGACATACATGTTCCTAATATGCTTTGAAAAGACGAAGACGTCTAATGACCTCGTATAATAAACAAGTGGTTTTTGCTTGATTTTTGCATACTTTTGGGATAAGACGGATGCCTTATTTACAGTAGCATGAAGAATTGATTGCAACACACTGCTATACAGATATTTTGAAAGATGCTATAAAAGTGATTGTAAGCTTATTAATTCTCTCGGAAGTACTATTCAAAAACGCCTTTTTATGAACCAAAAACGGAGACAAAGTCATTACCTGTAATGAACTTAAGTCACCCCAAATTATTGGACAAAATAAAAAGAACCAAAATCGGAGACAAAGTAATTGCCTGCAAGCCACCCAAATTATTTGACAAAATCAAAAGACATGAAGTGATCGCTGAATAAACATAGCTAGAAATATGTAAAATAAAAAAGGAAAGTTTGGTGCCGTTATACTGCACTCCATTATATACATTTCAGCGCGGTTTAAAACGGATGCCTGGGCAATTTTGGCCAAGATACAGAATGGGTGTTGGCACTCTCACCTCCCTGGGGAGGATGTAGCCCGGCTGCCGAATGAATCTCTCAAAGCTAACAAACGAACAATATCTCTCAACAATATCTTGAAAAAATAAATGGATAAACAGATGAATGAATGAATAAACTATAAGAAATGAATGCATGAATGAATGAATGTAAAACGGCGGAATAACTGAATACAACCTGGCAGTTCAACTGTCTTCAAGACGGCGTCTTTTTCTCTTGAAGACAAGACATTTGAACTTTCAAGACAGAGGCATGTTGAGGAAATTGATATTCCTGACATTTTGCCTCTTTTACACACAGTGCACTTAAAATAATATGTGAACCGAGAAACTTCATATCTAGGCTTTCTTCGTCCCAAATGTGCCCATTAAATACATGTAGCCCAGGCCCTAAGCTTACTTATGCCCCGATCTTAGTGTGTAACGAAAAGCTCACCAAATACCAAAACTACCAGCGTTCTCATTGTACCCCGTGCTTTGGGGCTTAATCCCCTCAAAAGAACAAGGTGTTTTTTGTTTCTGTATGGATACATGGTGTGCAGGTGCGTAGTTGGAAAGTTTGCACTCGGTTGGAATGGCGACTAACCTGCATAATGTTTCAGTACTGCCAGAAGAGCACATAACACATCGCAGGCCATTTTGTTTTGTGAGTGGGAGCGCGCTGTTTTAAAAGAACATTACATTAACGCTAAAGATGGATTTACAGCACTTATTAGCTAGTCCTTTGTCATATTCTTCGTTCGGGAAGTGCATTGAGCTAATGAAGCCCCGTCATTGCGTGGTGACGTTGGATAGGATATGGCAAGGACAAATCATGTGTATGTCAAAATGTCAAATAGTTAATGTGCATGTACTTTCTCTCTCTTCCACACACACACACACACACACACAACACACACACACACACACACAGAGGGACAGAAATACACACACACACACACACACACACTCACACACACACACTTAACATCTAGTAAAAAGTAATGCATAATTTTTCCATTGCGTCTAAAATTTAATCTCCAGGATATTGCGGCAACTGCAGCTCTGGAAATGTGCTTGGAATTTCACCTGATCTTTATAACTGTTATTCAGTATAACTGTTAAATGGGGACTCTTTATCCATGTTTTGAATATGACCGGTTGGGATTGTTAAAAACATGCACGACAGCCAAAATGAATCCGAAACAAAAAGACCTCTGTCGCCATTTGTTTTCTTGACGTTGGCCGCGTTTTCCATCAATCTAGATAAGTCAACACGAGAAATGAGACGTAATTGGAGTCAAGGATAGGTGATCCCTGTATTGTTCAGCATGCCATCCAAGACCTACATTATTGGGTGAATGGGAAGCAATGGTGAATTCAACAACTAAATCAGCCTTTAATAATAATAAATAAATAAATAAATAAATAGATAAATAATTATGATGATGATGACGATGATGATGATGATTTTCAGCTGAAGAACTGTTGTTATTTCTAAAGCGTGTCCTTATACATATGTCATTCAAAAATAGTGCGTGCTAAGCTTATTTGGCTTTACATGTATTTAATTATGTAAGAGTCCGATTAATTACTTGTTTACAAACACAGGGTGACTAACAAAGATTCTATTGATTGGCATATTTTCTTGGACACCATGCTTAATACAGCTGGGCGAACGGTTTTATCTTTTTTTTCTGAAACAAATTTAGTGTTCATACTTATTATAATATCGCTTAACTGTTCTGGTACAATGTTCTCCAGCGTTAATTTTATGTCGCGTTAGTGAAAAATTTTAACGCAGACACTTACTTAGAGTATATATAAAGAGTCTATACCTAGAAAATATAGATCTAATTTGTCCGAATGAAAACAAAATTACATTATTAAACATAGAATGGGTCTAAATTGGTTGATTGTGAGGTCGAATGTTGTACTACCAAGTAAGAGGTGATAAACTAAAACAAAGACTTTCAACGGCTATCAACAGCATAAAACCAAACTATATTTGCAGGACTTTGTTAGTCCAATATACTTAGATGCCCCATTGTCCAATAAGGTTTCCCTATATTTGGATAATCATGTAGGCCTACACTACAGCCCACAATGGACACAAGGCTCGAGAAGACTGATGGCAATTCTTTGACGCCATAGTGTGATTCCGTCTCCGATATACAGCTGCAGGGAGTTGCATGCCATCAAATAAAGTCACAATGCCAAAGATATCGTGCCGTTTCTAATTAACGAACGGGCACCTTGTGTATTCGTTGCTGTCAATTCATTTCCAGGTCATTTATACAAAGCGTTTTTGTCCTTATCTGGCCTCTTTCTTGGTAATTTCTTATATCTCAGAAGCAAGGCGTATTTCCATCAAGCCGTAGACATGGCAGGTATATTTCAAATAATTCTTTGGAGCTAGGAGGTCAATACTTGATGAGTCGATTTGTATAGAAAACTATGGAAGACCCCGGGGAAATTGTTCTAAGATTTATTTCTGCCTCATATCCCGTGCAATGTCCGTTTATACTACAACGTGAAACAATTACCGCAGCTTGGGCACAGTTGTCAGGAGATGATAGGGATAATTGTACAATAAAGGCAATGGAAAGCGCCTTGTAGTATCCCAANACCGTGGTATTTCCGAGATGTTTTCTTGATAATGAAAAGGATATATTTTTCTACAAAAAGCACACGGTCTTTGCGTGCACGAAAACACCTACAGGCAAATGGAATCGAACACGAATATATCGTATTAATTGTAACCGTATTCATAGTTGCGAATATGTCCTCGCGTGTTACGTAACCAGCATCAGTAAAAACGTTGATCTCTTTTGTGTGAGACCGTCAATATTCGTGGATATAGAGAAACATGCACGATAGGTTTTACTGCTTTTGAAAATTAAATTGTCATTAAACCGACATAAAGAATACAGGAAGAATATAACCAACTAGAGCTGAAATATAAATTTAAGGACAGGAATGTCATTTTATTCATGTGCATTATAAAACCCATTTCCCCTGTCCAAAGCCTGTAATGACATACAGTGCATATATCTGTTTTAAAAAACTGACTAATGGGACAGTTTATAACTTAAATGTTAAAGCTGTTTCAAAAAAGTCAACATGCTAGAAACCAATCCTAAAAAAATTCAAAAATATTAATACGGTATAATGGTTTTAGAGGAAACAAGCAGATATCAGCTTATTTAACGAATTGCCAAAAGGCCCTATAACTAGCAGCTATCTAATGACCTTTCATTAACTCCAAGCAGCCTTTTGTCCATGATTGCTGATGTGTGTATTAAAAGATCTGAACAAAGACGAGGAACAGTATAGAAATACGGACAATAACACATTCTCTATGGCCGTAATTAAGAATGCTTATTGACCAAGGTTAATAACAGATCGGTGCATGATACATTGTAAAGAAAACAGGCTGCTAATAAATAAAAGGATATGAATAGATGGATGAATAGATGAGTGAATTGATATGCAAAAATCGCTGGGGGTGAATAGATGAACCGATAAATAAAAAGGATAAATAAATGAGAAAATAGATGATATAGTGAAAAACAAATGAATATTTACTTTCTAGAATTTCTAGAAAATAGCCTATTATATTGAAGCCCGAGCAAAGTTCGCTTTAACCATCCATAAAATGCTGAAAACATATTGTACTCGCTTAACCTTCTCTTCTACAGCAAAACAAAGCACTTGAATATACGTCTTCACAGTCACCAGGAGGCTTGCATGTCACACCATGCAAAATACTCCAATTAATTCTATTTGTGCAAAATTGGGCTAGCAAGTCTTGTATTTGACATCCTGTGATCCCGCGGACGCTTCACATGTACAATACACACCGGTATAACGTCAATCCAAACCTTATTAAAACATCTGTTGATCGTCTTTTGAAAAACGTTATTTTGGACGGTGTGGATCAAATAATGAGCTAGGCTATTTGCAGAATGTACAATTAATTACTGAGCCGTACCTTTTTTTGTTTGACGATTCGTTTATGGCTTCCACGCCAAATAAGAGGACTTCAAATTATTTCGACATTTTAGACATACATGTTCCTAATATGCTTTGAAAAGACGAAGACGTCTAATGACCTCGTATAATAAACAAGTGGTTTTTGCTTGATTTTTGCATACTTTTGGGATAAGACGGATGCCTTATTTACAGTAGCATGAAGAATTGATTGCAACACACTGCTATACAGATATTTTGAAAGATGCTATAAAAGTGATTGTAAGCTTATTAATTCTCTCGGAAGTACTATTCAAAAACGCCTTTTTATGAACCAAAAACGGAGACAAAGTAATTACCTGTAATGAACTTAAGTCACCCCAAATTATTGGACAAAATAAAAAGAACCAAAATCGGAGACAAAGTAATTGCCTGCAAGCCACCCAAATTATTTGACAAAATCAAAAGACATGAAGTGATCGCTGAATAAACATAGCTAGAAATATGTAAAATAAAAAAGGAAAGTTTGGTGCCGTTATACTGCACTCCATTATATACATTTCCGGTTTAAAACGGATGCCTGGGCAATTTTGGCCAAGATACAGACTGGGTGTTGGCACTCTCACCTCCCTGGGGAGGATGTAGCCCGGCTGCCGAATGAATCTCTCAAAGCTAACAAACGAACAATATCTCTCAACAATATCTTGAAAAAATAAATGGATAAACAGATGAATGAATGAATAAACTATAAGAAATGAATGCATGAATGAATGAATGTAAAACGGCGGAATAACTGAATACAACCTGGCAGTTCAACTGTCTTCAAGACGGCGTCTTTTTCTCTTGAAGACAAGACATTTGAACTTTCAAGACAGAGGCATGTTGAGGAAATTGATATTCCTGACATTTTGCCTCTTTTACACACAGTGCACTTAAAATAATATGTGAACCGAGTAACTTCATATCTAGGCTTTCTTCGTCCCAAATGTGCCCATTAAATACATGTAGCCCAGGCCCTAAGCTTACTTATGCCCCGATCTTAGTGTGTAACGAAAAGCTCACCAAATACCAAAACTACATGTACCAGCGTTCTCATTGTACCTCGTGCTTTGGGGCTTTATCCCCTCAAAAGAACAGGGTGTTTTTTTTTGTTTCTGTATGGATACATGGTGTGCAGGTGCGTAGTTGGAAAGTTTGCATTCGGTTGGAATGGCGACTAACCTGCATAATGTTTCAGTACTGCAAGAAGAGCACATAACACATCGCAGGCCATTTTGTTTCGTGAGTGGGAGCGCGCTGTTTTAAAAGAACATTACATTAACGCTAAAGATGGATTTACAGCACTTATTAGCTAGTCCTTTGTCATATTCTTCGTTCGGGAAGTGCATTGAGCTAATGAATTGCGTGGTGACGTTGGATAGGATATGGCAAGGACACATCATATGTATGTCAAAATGTCAAATAGTTAATGTGCATATACTTTCTCTCTCTCTCTCTCTCTCTCTCTCTTCCACACACACACACAGACACACACACACAAGGGGCCAGAAATCTACACACACACACACACACACACACACACACACACACTTAACATCTAGTAAAAAGTAATGCATAATTTTTCCATTGCGTCTAAAATTTAATCTCCAGGATATTGCGGCAACTGCAGCTCTGGAAATGTGATTGGAATTTCACCTGATCTACATAACTGTTATTCAGTATAACTGTTTACTGGGTACTCTTTACCCATGCTTTTAATATGTTTGAATATGACCGGTTGGGATTGTTAAAAACATGCACGACAACCAAAATGAATATTGAAATCTGAATCAAGAAGACTTCTCTCGCCATTTGTTTTCTTGACGTTGGCCGTGTCTTCCATCAATCTAGATAAGTCAACACGAGAAATGAGACGTAATTGGAGTCAAGGATAGGTGATCCCTGTATTGTTCAGCACTCCATCCAAGACCTACATTATTGGGATGAAGCAAAGATGAAGTCAGCAATTAAATCAGCCACAAAATAAGTTAAGAAATAATAATAATAATAATAATAATAATAATAATAATAATAATAATCAGCCCAACGCAGTCACTGAGAACGATGAGATCACCATCCTATGGGACATGCCCATACAGACCGACAGAGAAATCAAAGCGAATAGACCAGATATCGTCATCAAGAACAAGAGAAACAAGGTATGCACCCTTATAGACATGGCAATACCATCAGAACGCAACACCTCTGTCAAGGTAACAGAAAAGCTGTCAAAGTACAAGGACCTGGAGATCGAGATCAACAGAATGTGGGGAACAAAGACCATAACAATACCTGTGGTCATTGGAGCTCTGGGACTTGTGAAGAAGGGATTAGAGAAATACACCGACAAAATCCCTGGAAACATCAACATCCACGAAGTCCAGAAGATAGTCCTCATCGAAACAACACACATACTACGGAGGGTGCTATCAATAATAATAATAATTATTATTATTATTATTATTATTATTATTTTGATGATGATGATGATAAGGATGACGACTTTTAGCTGTAGAACTATTGGTTATTTCTAGAGCGTGTCCAATACATATATATATATATGTCATTCAAAAATAGTGCGTGCTTGTTTGGTTTAAGATGCATTCTATTATGTAAGAGTCCGATCAATTACTTGTTTACAAACAAAGGGCGACGAACAGAGATTCTATTGATTAGAATATTTTCTCGGACACCACACTAAGTACAGCTGGGCGAACGGTTTTTATTTTTCTCTGAAACAAATTTAGTGTTCGTACTAATTAATTTCGCTTAACTGTACTGGTACAATGTTCTCCAGCGTTGATTTTATTTCGCGTTTGTGAAAAATTAACGCAAACACTTGGTTGGAGTATATGTAAAGAGTCTATACCTAGAAATTATAGATCTATGTTGTCCGAATGAAAACAAAATTACATTATTTAACATAGAATGGGTCTAAATTGGTTGATTGTGAGGTCGAATGTTGTACTACCAAGTAAGAGGTGATAAACTAAAACAAAGACTTTCAACGGCTATCAACAGCATAAAACCAAACTATATTTGCAGGACTTTGTTAGTCCAATATACTTAGATGCCCCATTGTCCAATAAGGTTTCCCTATATTTGGATAATCATGTACACTTCACTCAAAATGGACACAAGGCTCGAGAAGACTGATGGCAATTCTTTGACGCCATATAGTGTGATTCCGTCTCCGATATACAGCTGCAGGGAGTTGCATGCCATCAAATAAAGTCACAATGCCAAAGATATCGTGCCGTTTCTAATTAACGAACGGGCACCTTGTGTATTCGTTGCTGTCAATTTATTTCCAGGTCATTTATACAAAGCGTTTTTGTCCTTATCTGGCCTCTTTCTTGGTAATTTCTTATATCTCAGAAGCAAGGCGTACTTCCATCAAGCCGTAGGCATGGCAGTTATATTTCAAATAATTCTTTGGAGCTAGGAGGTCAATACTTGATGAGTCGATTTGTATAGAAAACTATGGAAGACCCCGGGGAAATTGTTCTAAGATTTATTTCTGCCTCATATCCCGTGCAATGTCCGTTTATACTACAACGTGAAACAATTACCGCAGCTTGGGCACAGTTGTCAGGAGATGATAGGGATAATTGTACAATAAAGGCAATGGAAAGCGCCTTGTAGTATCCCAGNAGTGTAAGTAGCAAGATAAGACGGTGTGCCACTAAAGAGAAGGGATGTGGTTATTGGGAAAGTTCGCTGAAATGAGATAATCTGACACAATATTAATCTTTTCGCTGGAAGCACGAATTAGTGACCTTATCTGAAAATATGATACCATATTTATATTTTCGTGTGTGGTTCTGCATTGTGTGGTTAGTATATTGCTTCTTTTCAACATATTCCCTCCATATAACCCCATAATTACATCTAACTCCAGTGACATTTTCTCATTTATCTTTCCTCTCAGCTACAAGAACACATGCTTCCGTTTGGTAAATTAAATTTCTGTCCAATATTGCAAGAGCTCGAGTGATACTTAAGCCTTGCTCACACCCATTTTGTGACCTGCAGAGCTCGCAAGCCCGGTGTAACAGGAGTTTTACTGCTGTCATTTTGAACGGCTTGTAATTTTTTTAAACGAGGCATTTGGACATATATCTACGTAATCGTAAGCGACACCTGAGCCTCTCTGGTTTATATGTTTACGGATTTTTTTAAATAACAGACTTGTTGACGCAAACTGTGGTTTTGCAAAGGATATTATTTCGTTTTGTGTCATTGTATATTTGGAAGTGAAATTATGTTATGAAACCAGCTTTTTTCACTCCGATTTAGGGACCTTTTTGGCCTGATTCTTATTCATGACGGTGTTGCATTTCTGCATGATTTGTGCGAGTCTTTCATGCATTTCACACTCTGTTTAGCACACAATTCGGACAAAGCATGTTAGTGACATAATGCTTATCGATCACGAAATTGTGTTCAAAGGAAAAAAAATTAGTCTATCTCTCATTCGTATACAACCAAGCCCCATAGACTACCAATATCACACACACACACACACACACACACACACACACACGGTCAAGTTCCCTGGCTAGCATCTTTGCTACCAACATTACTGGTCACATGCACACGTCTCACCCTATCAGAAATAGTGTTACAGCACTCTCATGGACATCCTAGTCAATTAAACCAAAGGACTGACTTTTTTATTTGTAAAACTGGATCCAGGGCTGTAGGCTACAATGTGTGGACAAAGGAAACAAATACCTCATTTTAAAACATGATATTTTATCTTTGTAAAGTGAAAACTTTAATCTAGTTTCTAGGGGAGTACCACAGTTGGTTTAAGTAACGCGCACCACTTCGTATGTCTTGCACATGTGAGCCCTTGGCTAGCTGCCCAAACAGATTTTTCCACCAACAGCCCAGGCAATTCACCGTATTCCAAACATATTCTGATACAGCTATATTCCGGGTGGGTTATTAAAATTAAATTTATACTCATACACTGTGCAAGTGTGGAGAAATTTCGTTCAAAAAAGAAATTATCTCTTGGTCATGCTCGCATTGTGCCGTTTTTATTTTGACAACCTGTGCAATTATCATGGTCGCTAAAACTGCTGTCGAACGTATTAGCACCGAAACCAGCATACGCAACGTGATTACGCGGTCCTCTTATACCCACAGGTACATTAAAAATAATCACCTTTGTCAGTTTTTCTGGGAGGACTGTTTTTCTTTCACATTAACTCTCTCTTAATTAACAAGGCAGACGAGGACTGACGATATTTTTCTCTCTTTCTAAGAAAATAGCCTGTTTGTCTCAGCATGTTTGAAACCTTTGCGCATGCTATTGAACTGCGTGTTTTGATCTCTGTATTGTTTCATCGAGTATCAAGTTATAACACGTAATTAGAAGGTTTCCAGCTCGTATTGTAAGGATTTACTGATGACATGCCTCTTAGTCACGTATAACTCCGTCATATACTATGGATTCCCGGTAGTCTGAGAACGGTTTCAAATATCAAATGAGTGAATGAATAAACAAATGAATAAACAGATAATCTTTAAAAAATAAACTGTTGAAATCAGAAGACACTCCTTTTAAGTCCGCATTTACAACCAAAGTTGAATCGAGGACTAACAGATCCGCGGATGAAATATGGTCCTCCCAATTGAAAGTGAGAGGAATCTATTCAATGGCTATTAGGCGGGTTATGCGGCAAGCTTTCAAGTGGGTCGGCCATATTTGATCCACGGATCTGTTTATCTGCGGATCAACTTCGGTTATGAATCCGGCCATAGAGTGTCATTAAGAAAGGGAGTGTCAGAATAGACGAAGAAGACAAACATAAATGAGACACTTTCAAAACCGTTAGGGAAAACCATTTTCAGTTAATCAAAAATATCTCAATTCGATCTGGGCAGAAGCTAAGGAAAGGCATGTAAAAGGAAAAAAGGACCTACGATGTTCTTTCGGAGACTCATCTCAGTCGGCTAAGAACCATAGTAGTCTTGGCTAAGGCGTTTTATGAATTCCGCTCTAAAGCAGGGCGGCTCGTACTTGATCTCATTATAGGCAGTGTTGCAAGCAATCAGTTGTGCTCGTTAGCTTTTTAAACAGGCCATTTATTCTAGATATATATGTTTATCTGACAAAGGATACTTGTTTCTTGAAAAGTGGCCCATGCTGACACTTTTCGAGGTTTGAGCGTATCTAAATGACAGAACTTTATCATAGAGATAATCTAAATGGGATAATTAAATTGCAATAGTAATTATTATTCGACATATGAAGGAATCAAGGGTATAATAGCCACTGTGCATGTAGACTCAACACCGTCTATAAAAAGAAGAAAACATTGGAATCAAGAAAGTGATTAAGTTCTCTGATTTGTTTGCTGGAGACTGTTTCTTAATCAAAGGATTCTGTCATGTCAATTCTTCGAATTTTCAGTTACATGTTTTCGTAATTGGCAGCAAAGTCATTGGCAGTGTTGTCTAAATTTCCAGGAATGGCAATTCCAATTATTTAATGTGTTCGTTAGGATTTGAGACATCTGCAAAGCCAACTAGATTTAAGCAAAACAGCTGTTGTTCTCTAATCATCTTGCAAGGTTAAAAGTTGCTTGAAGGAACAATGATTTGTGACTTGTGACTGATGGAAGCCAATTACACGTTTCTTGACGTAGTTGTTATCTGAGGTATTTATCATTATTTCCTTACAGCGTGTTATGTTCGTTAGTAACTCTATCCTTTTGTGAAAAATTCAATAACCTTTTTGTTGCATGTTGCAACCAGGAAAATATCCGACGAATTCGGTGAAACTGAAGGCCTTAGTTTGCACACTGAGTTTATAATCGGAATTAAGCATCATGAAGAAATTTTAGAAATGGATTTTGTCAGTTTACTCTCTCTCTCTCTCCCTCTCTCTCTCTCTCTCTCTCCCTCACACACACACACACACACACACACACACACACACACACACACACATCACTCTAAATCATCATTACTCTTTATTGTTTTTTTTATCTCTTATCTTTATGATCTTCCAGCTATCATTTTCAGGCCTTCTCACCCTTGGTGCGACTTGGTTATGACGATCTAACTATTTAAAACCTTTTTTTGACAAAGTCATGGGATTGACTGGGTTTTGTGTTCATACCGGGGGTATATTTCCCAGAAATGTCTCATCGATTTCGTCACATTCAAAGACGGTGCCAAATAGATTTACCTGTAGGATTATATCCAAATCAAGGACAAGATTTTTTTTTTACCAGACTTGTGATCAAATCCTCTTAGCGCCACAACCGGCTTATGCTTCTTATTAATGCTACATATCACTAATGAACGCATCAGATTTCTTCCAGGGTTCTTTTTGACCTGCATACTTGGAAAATCAGACGGCTCATCAATGCAAAAAGAAGCTTAAGCTAGCTAGGGTACACAAAAACAGGAAAGAAAAGATTCCCGGACTCTAATCACTATATGTGAATCAAAATCTTATCTATTACGATGGCAAAGCAACCAGCCGATCGAGTCCTTGATGTTGCCCACAGTTGGCAAGATGGAAGTAAATGTAAAGCATTTTGCAAGTATTTGAATGTTGCGGTTTCTTCCATCTTTTTATCCATCATAGCGGTTCACATCCTCACACTTACGTGGTGCCAATTACCTGTATTAACCTTTATATGTGTATATCCTGTAACGCCTCTCAAGACACGGTAAATAAGTCCTGGAAATCCTTTACAGCGCAAATTTTAGCAGTGCAACTAATTTCTCGCAATTGAGTAAGTTCCAAATTAACTTTTCACAATGAGCTTTGCCACTGGTACTAATTATTTTCAAAGGTAAAAAAATTACGATATCACTAACAAGTAATTTGACAAAATCTTGGAAACCCAAAACCTATTCATTATTTACAAAGGGATTGACAGTTTACACAACGTCTTTTGGTTACAAGAACTAGACAGATAATTTAAGCTTCACAATTCGTGACGCCTAGGAAGAAATGCGTGATGTTGACACGGCGTCATGTGAGACGGGAAATAAACAAAATCTTTCTCATCAAAATTGATCCGTTGTGTGGTATGAACAAGAACACTAATACCGGTTATGCCGTGACGCGTAGGTGAAGCCAGGTGATATCATGTGGTGAGATTTATAAGAATATATCTGATTATTCATTTTTGAGCCGATGGACACAGGTTCTTCTAGCTAATACATGAGTGAATTTAAGGCTTCTGTAGGCACGCCCAAAACTGGGCTCTTTTATCTATTCTAGAACCTTAGCGGGATACTAAGTTCAAACCACATGCAATTAAATCCTAGATGGGAAATTCCTGCTTTTAAAGATTTTAGCGCATTCCGAACAGCAGACTAACAGTTCCTCGGATCAAATATGGCGACCCACTAAAAACTTGCCGCTTTATTCCCGGATAGACACTGAATAGATTCCCCGCGGGGATTACCCAACACGTATTCAAGTTGGTCGGCCATATCTGATCCGTGGATCTGTAAGTCCGCTGTTCTAAATATGCTCTTTGAAGTACTAGTCAAACCGTCAAGGATGTGCTGTCCCCCACCCCCCCCCACCCCCCCCCCCCCCTCTCTCCCCCCC